GGTTAACTACGAAGGCGTGCGTAACCTCGACGACCCCACAGTGTTTATTTTCTCCGGAGACCGCGTCTAAAACCGGTCCCGTCGTATCTCTTTTCCCACGTTTTCGTGAACGACTCCCTTGCCGCGGGCGATCCCGGGTTTTTACCCAAAACAGTGGTAATTCCCAGTCAATGGTCCGAGAACTAAAGTTCTTTTAATTTTTTTTTTAGCCGCGACCGACCGGGACGTAACACTGTCTTCGAAATGTCTTCTGGTTTTACTGGTATTTGAGTAAACGCTCGCACTAGGTCAATAGTTGAGAATATTTTTTTCTCATGTAGTGCTTGTGTGAAATCCTCTATGTGGGGTATCTGATATCTGTCTGGCACGGTTCTTGCATTTAGCCTTCTGTAGTTCCCACATGGTCTCCATGCCTTGTTATTCTTTGGTACCATATGGCGTGGTGCTGACCACGGGCTTCGTGATGGCCTGATGATGCCTTCCTTTAGTAGAAGATTGAATTCCGTTTTTGCAGCGTTCAGCTTCTCTGCCGTTAGTCTCCTTGGCTTTGATGTTTCTGGTTGTCCTGCGAGTACCGTGATATGGTGCTCCGTGCCATGGTTTACTCTTCTTGTCTAATCTCCTATCCTTGTGAGTTCCGGAAACCCTGCTAGTATTTTATGGTAACGCGTGCTTCCTTCCAGTGTTTTTATTAAAGCTATTCTTGAATGCCTTGTTTTCCCTGCCGTACTTAATCCCATTTTTCCGTCTACCAACCTCCTTTTTCTGACGTCTGGTAGAATGTGAAAGTGGGAGTCTGCTCCAATTATTGGCTGCGTAATCTCTGCGATGACAAATCGCCATAGAAATGTTCTGCGTAAGCCGAATTTGGGTTGCAGAGTGACGGTTCCATATGTCCTGATCTTCGTCCCATTCGCCGCGTACAACTCCATTCTGTGTCCTGCTCGGCTTATGCCTCTTGTCATTTTCCGGGGGTATATGCTTACGTCGGATCCGGTGTTGACTAGAAATTTTGTATGCGTTTTTCTGTCCACCATGTAGAGGCGGCGTGGTTTCGGGCCGTCGTCATCTACCGCCATTAATGACTGGCCTCATTGTTTTTTGTTTTATACGCACAAGGTTGTGCATACCTGCGGGCTTCTTCTCCGAATCTGTGGTGATAATAGCAGATGTCTTTCTCTTCCCCTGTGTCCTTTCTAGCTCTGTTCCGGGAACG